ATATATATATATATATATATATATATATATATATATATATATATATATATATATATATATATATATTTCCTCTATTAAAACTAAAACTTAAGAGAAAAACGGAGAAATAAAATTGTAAACATCTATGCTAATTAAGATCGGATATCCAAAAACCGTCACGGCGATGATTTGCTTTGTTTAAACTTTATGCATCATATCATTAATGAGTTTGAGAACAAAATGTAAGGACTCAATGAAGTGCAACTTCCTTATTAAGCTGTGCTTTACTGATTTGGGAAGTTTGGCGGCGGCAGAAACAGCACCATCTCCATCTTAATGTCTTAAGGTGTTCACGAGAAAACCAGGCAGGAGGTGATACAGCCCAAATCACCAATTTCGCACAAACTTGGCACAAATGTTGGGTTTGGTGAGTTAATGACTATGGCAAAAAATTAGGTTTATTTTATTCCCTTCAAGTTAGGGGGACCCCCTCCAAAAATGGCCATTTATCACTAATTTATGCGCACAGCTGTAGCTATACTACGGAAACCTCAAATACTGTTACCAAATAATTTCACAAGAAATACTCATCCCTCTTTTACAACCCTTCCTGCGATACCAGAATATGGTTAACAAGAAAGTAGGACTCATTATCTTCAGGCGCCCTAAGCCATTACACCTTGCACTCACGTGCTCAACTTAACTTAATTTATTTAGTAATTTTATTGGGAGTGTCCCCAATTAGTCGGCCTCCGGGCTGACTAGAAGTTTTAGACACTTAAATAAAGTTTATTGATTGATTGATTAATTGGAGATTTTGCAATTTTTTTGGTACGACGTGCAGTAATACTTAACTGGGTTGACACATTAAATGCATTTACGGTAGTTTACATTCTAAGTTCCTATAATTTTTTGTAAAATGTGTCAATCTCTCTTCATGTGTTTTACTGTTTGCAGATTAAGAAACAAATTCTTCTAAAGGCAAATTCGACGAATTCAATAATAGTGAGGATGCTCATTCCGAGAAACAGACCAAAGTTTCCGCCCAAGTTTGCTGAAAGGAAAAGTATGTTGAAAAATACGTTAATAATGCATTTCAGTCATTAAAGTCACACACTTTCGGTCAGGCAGTCCGTCTGTCTGTTACTCAGTCAGATTAGTAAGTCAGTCAGTCAGTCAGTCAATCAGTCACTCAGGCTGGCGGAAAGTCAGTTTGTCTATCTATCTGTCTGTCTGCATAATGATAATAATAATAATAATAATAATAATAATAATAACTTTATTATTATCTAAAAATAATATACAGAAAAGTCCTATAAGTGAAATTAAAATTATGAATTACAAAGATGGCAGCCACAACGTCCATCTAGGATGTTGTCTAGATCTAGCCTCCGCACGTGGGGCTTAAACTACTTGAGACTTATCGCCGATCTTTCTTATTTGTTAGTTTGCTCCATAGTCTTGGGCCTAGATATCGAATTGAATGTCTTACGCTATTTAAAAGTTTGTTTGCATGATTGCCTCAGTTAACTTTAAAAGTTAACTGAGTGACGGATTGTAAGACAGAGGGATAGCTGATTGACTGACTGACTGCCTGACTGACTGACTGACTGACTGACTGACTGATTGACCGAGTGACTGCCTGATCATCAGTCATTTTGTCCCTCAGTACGTTGGTATAGTCACTGTACGTTCTTTCATCGACGTTTTAAATAGAGCATCGTTATATTCCTACCAATAAGAAAGGGTGATCGACGATTTATTGCCTCTGTTAGCATATTTTTCTTAAGTAAATTTCAAATAAGGCTTTACTCTTTCCCGAGTTCATTTTTTTAATTACTTTATAATAATAATAATAATAATAATAATAATAATAATAATAATAATAATAATAATAATGCCCTATATTGAAATCACACTAACATAACTTACCTATTAAAGTCCAAGATTCAAAAACTGGAGTTTGTTCAATGACATCGTAGCTCATATCTTGGAAATATATGTCCAAAGAAATGATGTTGTTACTATGGAGAAAAAATTGTTTTGATGTGAGTACAGTGCTTAAAAAAGAAGATGAATATGCAATACATGTTCGACCACGTAAACGTTTTGCGTGAAGGAACGGTAGGATCCAAGAAAGGTCATTTCGGCTGCATAAAATACTGCTCATTTGTTATCATTTAAGTTGTCAATTTGAATTTCACCCCACATGATTTTGGGGGCATCATACAACTTTTTGGTTTAGTCCAACGGAACTTTTCAGGAAGAAACGAAACGTCTCAAAAGTAATTCACTTTTCTCCCGTTAGTCAACTCCGAGTAATAATTGGCGTGTCATTTACTACTTTGCTTTGTTCGTACCAATTCCAAGCCTTTCGGCTTTCGCAACCTCACGCCTCCGCGTAAATTATTGTTTCTTCGGGGAAAATTGAAATGGAATGCATTCTTCGGAACGAAATTTCCCAACCGAAACTTCTAACCGTAATTAAACCAAGGGAAAACTGTCAAAGGAGAGAACCGGGGGGGTGGGTGGGAGGGAGGGTGGGTAGTGTGTATTTTGCAAACGATTACCATCCCATCCGAGGAAAGAATTTGCGTAGACATCATCTTAATCATTTCTAATGGCAGAAAGCATGTTCTAGCGATTATTATCAGCGCCATGCAGACTTACTCTATGTACTCCACCTTTTCTGGACCTGACATGTTCAGAAAACGTTCGTAGAAAGGAAAATCCTTAGTTACATTCGCAGAGGAGTTAAGCTTATCGATGAAAACATTCCTTAGTAGTCCAGCGTATGACAAAGAGGTTTCAAACTCGGTGTGTTCACACGGCTGTGTGCAGTTCTCCTCGCACTCGTCCTTTTCTTCAGATGTAGCAAAGGTTTCTAAAATACCGAAAAATAAAGTAACAGGACACAAAGTTGAAAACCATAAACTCGGAAAAGAACTCTTCATTCTTTTGATGGTGTATGGAGACTAACAGACAGACTAGCCGAATGAATGACTGTCTGACATACTGGCTGGCTGGCTGGTGGACTTAGTGAAACACTGACTGATTAACTGAACAATTGAGTGACTGTCTGACTGACTGACTGACTGACTGACAGACTGACTGACCAACTGACAACTGCTGGCTGCCTGCCTGTCAGGCTGATGATCGAACGGCCGAATAGGCTGACGAAGAAAGAAATAATAACTGATATATTTGCTGCTTGGTGACTGATAAACCGAATCTTTTACTCATTCAGCGACCGGCAGAGCAGCCTTTGAACGTCACCAACCAGCGGTCTGATTGCCATTCTGGTTGCCTAGTATGGTTTGGCCCCTAGAAACGGCATACAACGTAATAAATCAACACTTACTGTATGCGGGGAACATGCAAATTACGGTATCATTGGGGGCACAAAGTGGAAACTCTGAACCTGGAAAAGAAATCGTACAATCATATAATTACTTGATTTCGTTTGTTTTCTTGTTTGTTTGTTTTTATTAATTGATGTTTTTACCCGAGGATATTCTTATTACTTGTTCAAGCTCTTCTCGGGTATAAATAATTTCGCAAAAATCGTTCAGAACCGAAGAAGAGGGTGGAAAATGAGATCTTGTGACAAAAGTTACACATCAAGGTGCATCGCATCAGAGAAATGCTTTTAAGCAAATACATGAGTACACATGGTCTTTGGATATGTTAAGTCTCCCAATAACTACCAGAGAACTGAGTTTTTGTTGATGCTGATTGAAATGCTTATCCAGAATAAAAGAAAATCACCTCTTATACAGTTTTTTTTTTTGAAATGCTCGTCTCCCAGGCCTAGCTGATTAATTTATAGACTTTAAAATACGTTGTTGTTGTACCCACAATTTTTTTCCGAGTTATCATCTCTAATATGCAGTAATTTAACTGAGTTCTTGCCAAACTGAAGTGTAATTCGTATCCAGTCTGAGAAAAAAAAAAAAAAAAAAAAAAAAAAAAAAAANTGGGCATTGTATCCCTGTGTGAATAAAATTCATAAAGAATATGTTTAGCCCATACTTATTCCTTTTCCAAACGAGAACGAATGACTAAAAGTCTGAAAAAAAAAAAAAAAAAAAAAAACGTACTAATTTGCAAAAGTCTAAAACACAAACAAATTAAGTTATTGTCATGCTTACAAAAGTGTTTTGTTTTTTTTTTCAATCTTCACCTCTATATTCTATGGGGCGACAACCACATTGTTTGATAACAAACTTGCTCAGACACTGCATCATACAGGCGGGTTTAGAATACTTGTAACCACTGTCTTTAAACATGTCCAAGTTTCTGTTGCCAGTGCATGCCGTTGAAAACGGGGACTCCAAGTTTTTTATCTATGAAAAAATAATGACATTAATTTCAAATTATAAAATCTGTTACTGGAGTAAATTCTGTCTGCTATACAGTTATAACTCATGCCGCATTAATTTTTCGTCGACAAAAACACAAGAAGAAGTAGACAATTTTCTCACAAAGGAATCGAAACGAAACGAGATAACATCTCTTGCTTGTTTTTTAAGTTAATAGATCTAATAGAATTCAGGTCATATGGGATTTCGAACAAAACAGGCCATTATACCTTCTTCCTTTTTATGGAGCAGAGAGTACGAACGCCTGGCTGAACAAGGAAGCCAAACTGTTCCATGTATGGGAAGGTCTCCTGATCGTGTACGAGAACTGTAAGTCCGACAAATGGGTAAAGCGGATTCTCCAAGTAACTGTCCCTCTCGATGTTTAACGACAGCTTCAATCCGTTCAGGTTACCGGCCATAGTGGCGTTTATTACGGGGCGATCATCACGTCCGGAATTAAACGTGTGGCACTGTCCAAATATAGAATTTGTAAACGACCAAAAGTTTTCGCTTCCGCAAACAGCGCCATCAATCCAACAAGAATTGAAAAGTGAACTTGGTAGGAGCATCTCCTCGATTCGATGACTAAACAAGTCGAGGTAGGTTTGTCCGGTAAGGTTGTCACCGTGGAAACGCCAAAACAACTCATCATGGCGGTGTTTGGAATCGTTGTTGAAGGCGTCTTTTGATCCTGCCAGCATTTTCGCGTAATCTGCAAGTTTTCTTGCGATCACCTCGCGGGTTTTATTCTTGCCTTTTTGGAAGTTTATGTACCTACGCTGGTTTAGAAAGTTTAAATTGCAAAGTGTCACTGCGGGAAATGTTAAATTTGTGTTCCTCTTCGCTGTCTTTGCCGTTACTTTGGTGTTGAATGGCCGACGTCCAAAAGCAACGACAGTTGCAGAAACTTGATAGACGCAGAAAGCAAAACACGCCACAAGAGCCACTGCCCAGACGAGTTTTCTGAAAACGCTTCCCACAAACAAAAATCGAGCTCCGTGTAGGGAAGTGCCTTCCGCAAATGACCTCAGAGTTTCGGGTGCTTTTTTGATGTTTTCGTGCGAATGCGGATCTGTTTGTCCCTCATGTATTTCACATCCAGTTTCTTCAGCACTTTGAATCTTATTTGCCTGCGGTCTAAAGGCCATCACGTTGTTGTTTGTTTGTTTTTTTTTTCAAACTTGGGAGAAATTAGTATAATTTTCTTCCGTAAAATAGATGAAAACGAATTGCTAAGCAACGTAAGTGGATTTTAAGTTGTGCTCCCCACATTTCATTGAAGCGCGTTAGTTTTTGATTAAGGTTGCGAGAAAATGAAGTTTGGGTAATAATAGCTTAAAAATATCCAAACCTCATTTTCTCTAACCCTTTATCAATAATTAACGAGCTTCGAGGAAAGGTAGGGTATTTTGAAAATATTCGATTTCAACAATTTTTGCGGAAGAAAAACAAATTTATGACACCCTTTAGAGTCGTACAGTGCAATATTTTATTTAGACATGCTCCGTTCAAAGTTCATCAATAAATGAAACTATAAATACAATAAAAAAAAGTAAGCGTCCTTTTAGCTACAACGTTCAAAAAAAATAATTAACGAAACGTACTTCAAACAGTGATTTGAATTAAATATTGTAGAGGAAACAGGAAAATTAAAATGAAAAGTAATTAAAAATTTAATATCATTGAGGGAAGGAATCACTTTTTTTAATAACATGAATGACGCTTTTTGAATATTCCAGAGAAATAATAATATGGTCAAGGCGAGCTTTGAATATTTGTTGGTAAGTTTGGGGAAACAATTTTTAAAATATATAAAAATTGTTGCATGATACTGATCCACAAAAGATGCCTGTCAAAATGAACTGTAAGATCAACTTGAGCATCAAAACATAGCGCGCGACAACAATGAAAATAATGCAAATAATACTCAACGAACCCCCAAGGCACAAGACAAACACATCAAAAAAAACTTATTTAGTTTGAATAACAGATGTGTCAACAAGCTAGCAGACCAGCCTAAATTTATAATACGTTTTTAGGGAAAGACATTTTTTCGAAAATGACCTAGCGACAGAGTACCGTTAGCAACGGTGAAATAAAAGAATCTCAGTACTAGAAAAAGGAAAGAAAGATGAACAAAAAAAGGTATCATTAATTAACATTTATGTACCAGCAAAGTAAACATCTTTATGACTACGACGCAATGCAAATGTAGATATTTGAGAATATGCCACTTTAAATGGGAATCCATGGTATGGGCAGCATCAGAAAGCTAACACGTTCCGGAATAGCCAAAAAAGAGAAAAACTTCGCCACAACTCATGAAAATTTGTTGCCATCAACATTTAGAATAAAGTCTTTGTTTCTGTTAAAGTTTGACTATAAAATTGCTGGAAGATTAGGATCTAAATGAAAGCCCTAAAAAATGTTTCTTTCTTTTTTTTTTTAAGGAAAACAGTTGTTATCCCTTAAATTTCCATGGACGCGATTATATCACACGCCTAAAAAAAGAAAGCTATTGAGATTATTTTTATGTTTCCTAGAAGTCTGCTAGAGATGATCTAGCTTCAAAAGCCGTGAGTTAATTTAGTAATAACTGACTGATTTCAGTTTTAAGATAATGATCCAACCCTGCTGCATGAATTTTAACTTTCAGTACATTTGTTTGAATGTTGAAGAGACTCATTTTTATTCCCTATACAAATACTCTTTCATATTGTCAAATATTTAAAAAACAAAGTTCAAAAACAAAAAGGCTACCTCCTGTGGAAACCGATCATTTTTGTCACGGTCTGTTGAGGAGACAGCAAAAAATGTCAGTGGCATTGAGGACCGTTAGTTTTATTTTATTTTTTTTCTCTAAAAAGAGTTTAATTACTTTTTCTAAAATTTTACGCATAGTTCAATATTAATATATTTACATTAGCAATTGGAATTATCCTTACTTACTAAAAAAATATCTAAAAGCCACATATACAAGTATAATCAATTTCTGATCGCCCAGGAATAATTATTAATTCAAAATTTCATTGTGGAGATTTCGACATGATGGATCACAGCAATGAAAAGAACACGTCCCAAGAGCTGTTCTGCTACGGACTGCCACCTAGCATTTTAGTTGACCACTCAAAAATTTTGGTCACGTTGATGGTTCTTAACACCTTTATCTCCATAACTGCTACGATCGGAAACTTGTTGGTTCTCGCGACAATATGGCGAAGTCCACATTTGCACACTCCTTCGAACACATTGCTATTCGGCCTGGCTTTGTCTGATCTGTGTGTTGGAATAGTATCTGAGCCACTAAACGCTGGATTCCAAGCAGTACTTTTCACGAATTCCATCAAAATTACCTCCTGTACACTAGTGAATGTAAGGACTCTAATATCGACATTTCTATCAGTAGTCACCCTGTTAACTGTAACAGCAATGAGCGTTGATCGCTATCTAGCGATATATCTGCACCTGCGATACGAACTAGTGGTCACAGAAGAGAAAACAAGGAAAGTCATTTTATGCCTTTGGTTGATAAGTAGTGTGTTTTTAGTCGTGATGATTTTTCATCCTATGACTAGTTTTTCGGTTGCGACACTCACAATACCAGTTTGCCTTGCAATTATTTCGTTTGCTTGGATCAAGATTTACCAAGTTGTACGACATCACCAAGCTCAGATTCAAGATCAGATGGCTGTTGCTTCGCAATCATTTAACATGGCGAGATTCAGAAAATCTGCCATAAACACTAAGCTCGTGTTAGTCATTGTTCTTGTGTGCTATATTCCATTTCTCGTTTCTAAAATTTGCCTCACTGCCAACTTAATTCCTTCAAATGTTCTCTTTATCGAGATCACCTATGTATTTGTACTCTTGAATTCTTCGCTAAATCCATTCGTGTATTTTTGGCGTCAGCGTGATCTTCGTGCTCAAGCTAAACAACTTGTGACGAAGTTTATTTGCTGTCAAACACAATTGCAATGAATTCTTTGCCAGACAGTAACATCGCTTAATTCAAAATTACTGTAAGTTTAAAACGTTCAGACGGAAATTAATCCGACAGCAAATCGAGCAATTTCAGTTTTTAGTGGACAAAGGCCTGGTACCAGAATAATTTCAGGCAATTTACAATCCTTATTATTATTATTATTATTATTATTATTATTATTATTATTATTATTTTAATTTTCTTAGAACTAGAGATTTAAATAGCTGCCTGAAATAACACCGAAAACAATTTTCCATGGGAAAAGGAGAAAATAAATTTCAAAGAAATGTCATCATCAGATTCATTTTACCAGTACTTTTAATGTTTCATACGTAGTTCAAAGTTTGTTTTTGACGGTTAGGGTTGTTAGAAATGTTTTTTTTTTTTTTTTGAGAAGTTATTTAAAACAATCGCACAGAAGTTTGCAATACGATGTGAATAATCTTGGTACAAAGTTTTTGTACATCTGTTACGCGATCTCCTTGTGCATTCGTTCTTAATTAATTCTTACACATAGTTCTTGTACAGTCAGCTACAAAGTGCATCTGTTTACTACGGAAAATGAATTCAGTTCCTTCGATTCTCTAGATTATTAATAAACAGAGCATTTTGATTCTTCAGCGACACCTCTAGTTGCTTTTCAAATGTCAAGATTACTAGAACAGTGAATTATATACCCCGACACCCAGATTTACACCTAGACCAAGAGAAGCATTGTGAGAGCAAAGTGTCCTATCCACGAAAAAAAAAAAAAAACACCGAGACCCGGTCGATCGATCCCGCTGGCCGTAAGGGCCACTGAATCTCGATGAATTCATCACTGAACGTACATGAGGTCATTTCGTTGAATGTTTTGATTTTTTTTTCCTTGAAAAGTGTAATGTCGAACCCAACGTTAACAAGCTCCTAAACTAACGCTTCACACAGTAACGCCGCAAAGCAAAGTCTTTGAAGGCGATCACAAATCAGGACTCCTTTATATTGTGACAAGAAAGAAAATATTTCCATCTCAGTACTTATAAATGAACAAAAGTATTCAAAACATCGGTATGGTCAACATCTTTGAGTCGTCGTTTAAATGATCGAATTTCTGTTCTCCAATTTCCTAAAGTCCTCTAAGAAAGAAGAAATAGTTTGAAAAGAAAATTGACATCTACGTTCTGCTAATATGACTAAATGACATCATGATGGGTCGAGCTTTTGTAAATAATAGACTCTTTATGATTGATTGATAAGAACGGTCGTTAAAATGTTTCGTTAACAAAAAACTGGATCTCAGCAAATGGAATGAAAGGCCCAACCCTGTATGTCACACGAAAAAAAACAAAAACAAAAAAAACAAAAAAAACAAAAAACAGGCTTAGGCTTAGCTTAACTTAATAATATATAGCGCACTCGACTGAATTACCGTACTTAATTGATTTTATTTCTGGAAAAGACATAAATTATTACATTTTATTGTCATAACTGTCGCTGTGGACTGGAATTGAGTCGCGTGTTTTTTCCCTGTACAAATACTCTTTCCTATTGTCGACTATTTAAACACAAAAGTTCAAAAATAAAAGAGGCCACCTGCTATGGAAAAACCAATCATTTATGTCAGGTTCTATTGAGGAGACAGGAAAATGTCATTGACATCAATAACCTTTCTTTTCTCTGAAATGAATTTAATTACTTTTTCAAAATTTTTCAGGATAGCTCAATATTAATAAATATAATAGCAATGGACATTATTCTTTGACTGTGGTTAGCTGAACAAATATTGAAAAATCCACATACATAATTGATTTCTGATCACCAAGGAATACTTATTTATTGAAATTTCATTGCGGTGACTTAAAATGAGAATGGATCTCAGTAATGGAATGAACTTGTCCCAGGAGCTGTTCTGCTACGGAATGCCAGCAAACATCTTAGTTGTCAACTCAAAGATTTTGCTAACATTAATGGTTCTTAAGAGAGTGTCTCTGTAAGAGCGGTCCGGTCGATTTTGCTTGAGACACAGATTTAGCTCATTTCTTGTGTGTTGTAAGACATTCATGTACCTATACTAAAACCACAATCCGTTCGATCGGATCTCTTTATTTTTCAGAGTTTTACGGAAATTAAATTTCAATCAAGCGAAGGCCTGTCGTGACAATTTTTAAGACTTAAATTTGAGACAACTTTGGAGGACAATTTACAAAAAACTACGGGACTCAACAAAAAACAAATACCACAGCCATGTATATTAACTCTATCTTATCCATCGAGGCGACTTTCGTGAACATCA